GTATTTTGGTCCCCATTTTTAAGAATAAAAGGGATGCACAAGAGTGTGCAAATTATAGAGGAATTAAGTTGATGTGTCATATTTTAAAGTTATGGGAGAGGGTAATTGAACATAGTTTAAGACACATCACAAAGATTTCTCATAATCAATTTGGATTTATGCCGGGCAGGTCTACTATGGAAGCTATACATTAATTGAGAGTTTTGATGGAAAAGTTCAGAGATAATAAGGAGAATTTACATTTGACTTTTATTAATTTAGAAAAAGCTTACGATAAGGTTCCAAGAGATATCCTTTGGAGAGTTCTTGAGAAGAAAGATGTTGATATGACTTATATTACAATGATTATTATAGTAACACCAACACTTTACATGATGTTTTTATTACAATAATTATTGTGATTTAAATTTCAAAAATTAGTTGAAAAGGGGTTAATAATTAGAGATTGGTCCAAGACAACTGATAGAAAATTGCACTTAGTTGTAAATTGGTTGTGTGGTCAGGATAACGTCGGTTGACCATCATCATTATTTTGTCAGTCTCTTCAAAATCAAATGGTGGTACAAACTAGTACTTGGTTCAAGGCTTCTCTAACAAATCCAAGGCTTCAAGATAACTATATCCACATTTCAAGAAGGATTTTGAAAATTCAAAGCATGGAAATGGCTAGCTCCTCATCACTCTCTTTCAATTTGAATTTTTACTTTCTTTGCATTATAAATAAAATGTACTATTATTACAGATTAGCAATTGATTATTTTCTTGTAAGCAATCCTTCAGTGAAGCTTGCAACATAATCTTCCCTTGAAATTTGGTGAGTTTCAAGTAAATATTATTGTGTTATTTCCTATCCCTCCCAATTTTAACCTAAAACCTAACCTTAATCGCCACCTACATCTCCTCAACCCTAGAAACCATCCCACAAATCTCCAAGGCATCCACACACCCCCTTCAACCCTCTTCTCCATCCACACCAAAAAACTAAGCCTTCCCTTCTCGGTGGCTTGGAACTTTCACAACAAATCCAAGCCTCTTCTAGCTTCCCCTCAGTTCCAAGGCCCAAAATATATTAGAACACTCCATACCTCTCAGCCACCCCCGAAACAACCCATACCTGAGTCCATGGCCTCCTTAGAACTCCATAAAAATACGCATCCAAGTGAAGGCTTCCAGCACAAACCCCTGATCAGACCTAGTCATCATCACACACCCTTCCTAACGATTTTTAATATCATCACTAACCATCTTGAATTACAATAGTGACTTCTACATGTAAAATTCCTCCCACCACCAATCATTATTACTAAATATTTTCCAAAATAAGCTATAAGCCAGCGATGACTAAATTTCCCCCAAAGATTGAGTGGATGAGAGATGACTGATTGAATCAATTTTATTTATACTAATAATTATCATCATTGAAGCTAAATTTCGTAAAATATTGATCAGTTTTTGAGTTGAGTTGTGTTCATTCTAGATCAATATATGAAAATAGTTTACATCATTTGCTATGATCCAAAAATTTACAATGTTCACAACGTATTATAAAAGATGGAAGGATACAAAACAAACACTTAATGAGATGTCTCATTCAATATTATTAAGAATGTGGGGAGATGGTGTTAATTTTATCTCTCACTTTCAAACAACTTGACTTGGGATCTGCCACGTAAAGATTTACCACTGAGTTAAATCAAATGAGGATTACAACACAAAAAGCATCATAGAAATGAGAAATTTAAGTCACTGTGATGGAGTAAAAGAAAATTTTAAAACCTAAACAGTCTTTCTCTCGGAGATGTTTCCATCTAACTGACATGAGCTAACATTATCTGTCTTGGAGCATTATTCAAACCAGTGTTTGCTTATTTGGTACCAGACATTAATTGTTAAGGCATACAAGTACGAATATGGTGCTATTTGTTAAATGTAAAGGCATACAACAATATAGTCATGTTAGAACCATGCCAAAATAATATAAAACACGCATCAATTTGTATTTTTCAACCACCGTTCACCAATTACATTGTCCAAGGTGGCACTAATAGTTTAGGAGTAGCTGACTCAATCTTGGTTATTATGCAATTATGGGAGATACCTTGTAGCTAGTTTGTTAATAGATCAAGCCAAGTAATCTCTAAATGGTCAAAGATTATGTTTTAAAATTCAAATAAAGCATGTAAAAATCACAAATCACCTATTAAACTTAAGTATATTCACAAATCACAAGCCACTTTTAAATTCAACTTCTTTTTTTTAATGTAAACAAGGAATACATAAATTAAAACCCAAATGAAAAATGGATGAATATGTCTAAGAAAAACAAAAAAAAATTTAGAACCATACAAATTAGCCAACAATTGTAATTTAATTCCCACAAATAGAAATTTAATCGCGTCAAATTGAAACAAAATCAAAAGCATTAGCAAGCTAATAATAAATTATGTAGACATAATAAGAACAAGAAATAAAAGTACAGAAAAAAAAAATAGACCTCATATCGATACAAAGAGATCCCCAAAATCCATTGGTTACAATTACACCACTTCGAGGAATTTTGCATTCAATGCACACATTAGATGCAAAATTAAAAAAGAAATAAATAATTATTCAGACAACATTGTTCCATTAATTTCTTAGAGCATTAATTTATAATCCACTTAGCTGACATGAATCGCATAAGCAACTTAAACAATGTTTAAATTAAATAAAGTAAAAAAGCCAAATTTAAAACTTTATACTTCTTATCCACAGTAAACAAAATAATATGAGCTATGCATCGTTAATTGAGTGACAACAATATAGGAGATGCACAACTGCAAGAAATGAAGGAGGTGAGTCTGGAAAACTATGAAAAAGGGTAGAACAAAAACGACACAAAATCTCTTCTACTATAAAATTTACAAGAAAATAAGTCCAAAAATTTCCTCCCAAAGAGCAGATAAAGCCAAACACAATTGCCTAAGATGGCACACAAATTCTCCCATAGAAAAGAGCAACTTCTTCAAGACCAACAACACTCACTGGAAATTCAAACAAACCACTTATCCTCTCCAACCGACAAAACAGCCATAATAACAAGTTAACCTAAACTGAAGCCAATTGAAATTTTATGTAAAACCATCTGAAATAAACTAAATCTTCGGGAGAAAAAAATTCTCTTAACTATCTTCACTAGCATGCCTTTAATTACAATGTTAACATATAAATCAAAAAATTCAACCAAGAAAAAGAAATTATATTAGCTGTGCTTGAATCATTGCTTGATGTGATGTTTTCAATGAGAATAAACATAAAAAATTTTCATTACTAAATGTATAACTTGGACATAAGAAAAAAGAAGTGTCAAACTTTAGTAAGAGGTCAATTATCATAGGTGTTGATCACTAAGCATTGATGATTATAGCATATTGTAGCAGTAAGCTACTTCTCAGTAGCCAGGCAAAAAATATTAGAAGATTTACATAAATACCACTCAATTCTTATGTATTGAATATCTAACACCTAAAGTTCAATTTTTTACATACATGCCACCTTCCCTTTGCATGAAAAGATGAATTTCACTTTTTAAAAGTTAAAACATGGTATTTTTTAATGTGATATGAAAGATTTGGATGGTATAAAAAAAAAATTAAAGTTTAGGTGTTAGATATGTAAATAAATAAGAATTCGGTGGTATGTATGTAAATGCCCCAAAAATATTTGTAGAAATTGCCATGCTTAACCCAAAAAAAAAGGTTAGTTACCTGCGTGACAACTGAGAAAACTCATCCTCCGCCTCATCATCCTCATGATTAAGATTAACAAGAGGTGCAACAGGAGAAACCGGAGCTCCAACAGGTGCAACGGGAGCTCCTCCTGTAGTATTATTCCTAATAGGAATCCCTCTGGCTATTTCATCATGACGCTGTAGTACTTTCTGCAGGTCATCATTTAGTGCAAGGGCCTGGAACAAAAGTCCTTCATCTCTGTTGAGTGATGAACAAAGCCGTCAAAAACTTACAGTTTCAACTGTAATATTTGTAAAAATTCTCAAGGACATCCGTTACCCAGTGTTATTAATAAGGAGCATGACTCGATCCTGATACGAACGACACTGCTCTACGAGATCAACAATAACTTCTTGCTTGACACTCTGCTATCGAAAGAATAGTTAGTGTTTTCGTACAATTCATATTAAAGTAAGAAATAGCAACAACTTCACAGAAAAGAAAAACATACAGTTTATTAGTGAAGTACAAAGCGCACCTACCCCTGAAGGCTATAACTTTTTTCAGTTAGTCTCAGTGTATAAAACAACAACAACAACAACAACAACAAAGCCTTAATCCCACTAGTCTCAGTGTATAAAAGTGCCAACTTAATTCAGGACTCTTTATATTGGGGTTGAAATAATCCTTTATATGAACTATTTCTACCCATATTAAAAGAGTTTGAAGACCTACACTTCTATAGACTCTAGGACTAAAATGACCGCTGCAAAGAGCCAGCACGGAGAATGGTTTTACATAATCTAAACATGCTTTGACATAGAGGTTCCTTGTACAATTTGAATCCATGACTCACACTAGGGACCAAACCAGCTATTGCACCAAAACATGTTCTCCAATATGATCCGAGCAAAATTAGCTTAGGCAGTAGATAAAACTAAAAAATTTCATCCAAAAATCAAAATATTTATTTTCTAGATTTTCATAACAATCACATTCGCAGGACACCAATTCAATTCGTACAACTATTCTTATTCATTTGTCATTTTTATGTATGATAATTGAGATTTAATGGATAATGTTCTGCTTCAATTTAATGCTTTAGCACATCATGCACTCAAAATCACAGCATTCCAAATGCTAGATACAGAAGGTATGATGCCACATCAAATTCACCAATCCTATGCTATTTTCTAAAGGCTTCACCCAAACGATTGTTCAGTTTCATTGGGGATATGGGTGAAATGGAGTCAAATTCGAGCAAGCCAACTAAAAATTAAGATGGAAAATGCAGATTTGGGTCAAAATAAGAGAAAAGATGTCTGAAATGTACTATTTTTCAATTACTAATTTCTCGCAAAAATAAGTATTTCCACTAAGCTTTAATCAAGCATCTTGTAGTTAGCACACAAGTGTCACTATCAATTATACAATGCAAAATATCCAACAGCAAATATTTTATCACCCTTAAGCATATCAAAAACACGAATGTAAAATCATTATATTTCATCCTGCAATATCAATATCACGTATCAAATTGAAATAGGCAGGAGATGCCTGTAGCACCCCAAGAGCACAAGAATATCTTAAGAGCAGGAATTAAGACTAGTCTAAATTTCAATGCAAAACAATTCTTGTGCACAATAATATTCACCAGAGTTCATCATTTTAAAACAATAATGCAGAAGAGCACGTATTAACCTCTGAACTTTGAAAATCCAATGCATTAAGGATCTCCGACAATACATCAGCTATGCCTCGCGCATTTTGAATCTCATCCAAACTAGAAAATAAAAAATAAAAAAATTTCAATGATGGTTGTTGATAGTGATCAAGTAAACATGGTGCTAAAAGCAAAAAGGTTTGAAACTCTATACTTCCAATGAAATAAGAACTGCTTAATAATGAAACACTTGGTAGGCATGCACAAAGTTTATTTTAATTTGTAATTGAAATATCATATACTCATAGAAAAATAAATGTCTGAATCGGAAAAAAGAAAAAACAGAGATGAAAGCATCCATGAGAGGTAGATAGCAACAAGTTCAACACATCTATGATCAAAATCTTAATTGCTGCACAAATAATGCAAAAAACAAGGAAAATGAAATACAAAGACTTTCATAACTACATCATAATTCACGCCGACAAAACAAAAATCATAACCGTTCCAAGATACATCACCCCTCAAACTTCAACAAGAGTCGATCAAATGTTACGAATGAGAAATCATAATGCTATTAAATGAAATAGTCCTACTTAGAAACTTCTCATTCACTTTAACAGGCTTAATCATGCCGGAAACCTACATGTTAATAAAGTAAACAAAATAATTAAAGGGGCATTTACATACATATCCCACCCAATTCCAATATGCATACATATATATAACATCTAAGCCTTTACTTTTTACATTTATACCAACCAAACTTTCATAACACAACAAAAATACAATCATTTAAACTTCTAAAAATTGAAATACACATTTTCATGCATAAGGCCGTATGTATGTAAAAACTGGAGTTTAGGTGTTCGTTATGTAAATACATAAAAATTGTGTTATGTATATGCCCCAAAAATGAAAACTGAATGCAGTATGGAGAGTACCTTAAGGCAGAAACATCAGATTGAAGAGAAGCCTGTAAGGCAGCATCATATGTTGCCTCAATCCGTTGATGCTCTATAGGATGTGTTTGCGGAGGTGTAAACAACGGGGCTGTGCTTTCTGTTCGTGGAGGAAATTCAAATCCAGCAGCCTATCACCAGCATAAAACATTGACAACAATATCTAATTGAAAAGAAAGATTAAAACACCCTAAATAGAAGAAATGCCTGCCGCAAATATGAATATGTAAAGCCTAATATAAATCACTAGATGCCAATGCAACCTTGAAAGGGGAGAAAATTTAAGATTAAAGAAATAACCTAGAAACAAAAGTATAGAGACAAGAGAGAAATAGGAAAAAGGCCATGCAGATGAATACACAACTCAAACCTAATCACCATAAACAGTATCCTCATTAGCCCTATCACAGCTATCTAGGATTAATTTTATAAAAACTCATTTTTCCATTCGGTGTTGCCTAAGGCCTTGTAGCCTGTTATTTGCAGATCATTCGAATACCTATTTTCCTTCCTACTCCATCGAAATTAATGTTATTAACCAATTTAATGGTGCGTTATCAACTATCTTCAATCATTCATCAATTTATGCTTCTAGTTTTTTCACACATTCATATAAACAATTTCATATTCACCATAATAAATTTGAATATCAATGACCTTTTTGCTGCCAAAACAACCAAACAGCATACCAAACCTAATTATAACTTTATAAAAATTACTCTTGAATTCAATGATATATCTTACCACTTATTACTCTCAAAGCATTTCTCTAATTTAACCACCAACCTTAACCTTAGAAGTTACATTCTCATCTAAATGAAAGCATCACTACTCTTTGATAAAATAGAATCAATATAGCTGAACCTATCATACCTAGGATCATTGTCTTTTTTAATAATATTAATAAATAATTCATAATATCACATCAACCTAAATTACTTTTCTCATTAGGACACAATGGAGAAAAAGGATTCCTGTAGCTGACCCCATTTAATGTGATAAAAGCTTATTGTTGTTGATGTTGTATACTCAAATACTTACTCAATTAACTATACGTACCATATCTTCAAAACATTTACTTCATTGTTCTAAATATAAAACAAATATCTGACTTGTTAAAACTGTCATTTACAACAAACATATATCCATGCACCTCAAATTGAATATTCTTTGGAAATATTTCCATAACCAATATAAGAAGACATGCAATCATTATTTATCCTTGATATATACTTAATATAATTGGTAATTTTTTCTTCCCTCCATACTTCAGTAAGTTTTTCTCTATGTCGGTCGTTTTAACTTTGGTTTTGAAAATATATAGGAAAATATGAAAATAGTTTTGATATGAATATGATTTTTGGAAGTAACATTTTGATTTAAAAATATGTGAGACCAAACGAGCCTCACATTTTGAATAGTTTGGGTGACAAAGCACGATACCACAAATAATACACTTATTCTGAAGAATAAATATATCATTTGTAGTAGGTTCAATCACCTAAACTAAAGAATTTGTGACATCCGTTTGATCTGCGAAATATTTTATATGAGGCCAACAAGTTCCCCTACCTAATATGAGGATTAGATAGAGTTTATTTTACCTGGGTTCCAATTTCCCTATAGAGGCAAGCCCCTATAATTAATTATATCTTAAATGATTGGGATCACTTAAGAAAACTCTCGATTAAGATCAGTGATTTGCCTTCAAGATTTCAAAGTTTAAATTTCCACGATTGGACATAGTAAAAACAAATGGGAGTGGCTCAAAATAGGAATAATTATCTTAAGGAATCCAAAGCAGCAAATAGTAGGGGATATCACGGATCCAGAGAGAACCCCGGTGACCTCCCACATATCCTATTGTTTGGTTTTATATCATTGAAGTGATATTATTTGATGTTTAATCTTGCAATTTATTTAGAATTCAGGACTTATATTCGCATGATATCTATATCTGATATATTCGCATGATATCTGATCGTGCAAATAGCCTAAAAAGATAGGAAGATTTACACTGTACCGTACGATAACCTCGGAATCCTAAAGTGTTAGGACTTATAATTACATAACCAGGGCTGTGCAAAAGCCTAAAGGTGATATGTGAGGGTTTACGTTGCGCTAGACAAATCACCTCGAACTCCTATGGGTTGTTGCTTAAACTAAGGAAAGTGATCGGTGTGAATGTGTTTTAGTGTTGTTAATCCATCTTGAAGTTACACTTCTGAACGTCCTTGTCGTGCTACCAACATTATTTGCTCCAAACTCTTCGGCGTAACACCCCCGGGTTTGTTATTAATCCTATATATAATCACTAAGTTTTCCTAAACTAAGGTATAATGTGTATCAAAATGACAGCATGCAGTATAAAAGAAAAGAACAGTATAATGTACAGTAAAGAGATAGAACATAATAGCATGCTAGGAGAAAAGTACAACAAACTAGGAAGACAATATATCATACTAGGAAAACAGTATAATATGCATGTTATAAAATAATGTAATGTAAATTAAACTTATATATTTGAGAGTTCTGCTGCTCCTTTAAGTCAACTAATATTCACTGTATAAGCAAAAGAAACATTGTCTGAAAAACTCGAGAAAATCGACAAATACTCGACACAACTAATATTCACTGTATAAGCAAAAGAAACATTGCTGAAAAACTCGAGAAAATCGACAAATATTCCCCGACGGAAAATTCGAGAAAATTGATGAATAACAATCCAAATAAAACTTTCAAAAACCTCGGGAAAATCCCGGAGAAAAGACCACGAGTCTTTGTCCAAAAATTTCAGGAAAAACATACGAAAAATCCGAAAAGAGGGGACTGCAAGCACTTGGGTCGAGGCTAGACTCAAATATATATTTGTACTCGAGAGTCGTCGAATGCTACTCGGTCACCTGGATGTATAAAGCCCGCCACTCCACTAGAAGGATATCCTACTGAACCTAACTTAGGAGGATACTCCTTAGCCGAGGATCGGTAATCAACAAGTTGACAACCCAAATGTAACATATTTTTGAAATTTAAGCTTTAGCATGCACATATATTTCAAGCATACAAAAGAAAAGTTGTATTTAATTTTGTAATGAAAATATTTTTTATAAATATTGTATCTGTTCTTATCAATTTTAAAATGTATATTTGTTCACAAGTCGATCACGTCATCGGGCCTAGGACTACCAACAACATAAAAAGATACGGGTCCCCCTCTAGTCTTATGTCGGTGAATGATACTTCATTATCAGTTCATCAAGTCCCAAAATTGAGTCCTGATGTTGTAGGATGAGATATCATTCTACTCTACCACTGGCGTGTCTTTATCATCATTGCCCTACGCCCCAAAATAAAACCGACCTACTTGCGACCTTGTTTGATGATTTCACATATGGTTTCATATATAGCAAAATATGTTATATATGAGCACTTATGTATCAGACATAAGCACAGAAAACCAAACCAAGAAACAAGAAAATAAAAGAATAAAAATGGGGATAAGAGAGAGGAGGCACTGATTCACCTAAAACATCGAAGAGACAGATGATGAATCAACCCTCAAAATTGTGGCAAAAAGACTTAGGAAAGAAGACCCAAGATCCTTGAATCAATCCTAAAGGATATCATTTTCTCACATTTCATAAATGAATCAACCCAAGAAAGGTATCCTTTCCAAATGACAATTTTATAAATTTCCAAACCCTTCATGAATTCAATTGATATCAAATTCATGATTTCTTGAAATAAAGCTATAAAAGCCTTTTATATGTCACAAAATAAGAGACTAATTAATAGAGGGGGGCACCTTCTAGCCTTCCAGAAAATCATGCTAATATCAAAAATCATTTAAATCCAACCTTCATTAAAAGCTTTTCATTTTGCATAAACATGAAATTATCCATATAGAACGATATAAAACCAGAGGCCACAGAGAGGGATGAAGAGATGACTATCAACCCAACTTATTCCACGAAGAGATCAGCAGGTGAGGCTCTCGGGTAAAGCAGAAAAGAGGGTAGGGGCTAACGGGTAAAGCCAGAAAGAGAGTAGAGGGTCACGGGTAGGGCCAGAAAACACACAACCAAGCTCCAACTAGCTCACGGGTAGGAGCCAGAACAAGCCAAATCAAACCCCATATAAGAAGCTCATAAGAAGCTCACGATGGCAAGGAGGAACCCAACACCACACAAACCCATGAGTAGGGGCAAAGAAGAAGGCCCCAAAAGCAGCATAGACCTACGGGTAAGGGCCAAGAAGAAAGTCCCAAAGGCAGCATAAAGAAACCACCATAAGTACTACCATTGCATTGTATTTGACATACATAAGAGAGTGAATGGACAAGCTATTATACACCACTATGAACGAACCCACCTTCATGACAATGCTCAAACTAAACAATCCCGCCTCGAGATAGGTATTGAAATTCATGAATTTTAGATTGACAACTTGATTATAAATAACATTACAAAGAGGAGCGCTATTTAGATATCTTCCACACACAAATTGACCCCAATTAAGAGGGGCAACCCAGACAATTACTTAGGCACAATGAACTCAACAAAAGAAATGTAATAGGGAGCTGCAAAAGCACAACCAAGTTCAAGTAGTAAGGATAAGGTGTCAATCCAGCATAGGTATACCCGAATCCAACAAAACAGCGAGACCAAAAATCTTGAACAAATACATTTGATTCCAGCAAAAAGAACAAGACCAAAATCCAGAACAGGTGCATTTGGGGAGTAAATAGCGCTATAATTAAAGCTGAGCTCCAACAGAGAATAACAAAGCAAAACTGAACATCAACAAAAAACAGGCACCCAAAACCGAGCCCCAGCAAGGGCCATAATCGAAATAGAACTCCTGCAGGAGGCAAAAAAACAAAACTGAGCTTCAGCTGAGAGCAACAAAACAAAATTGAACCTCAGCAGAGAGGTGGAACCCAAAACCGAGCCCCAGCAAATGGGGCGTACAAAACATATTCAGCCTAAGATTTCTCCCTAAAGAAACATGCACAACACTTCTTTCCCCCAAATTTTTTTTTTTTTTTACAATGAACTGATTCAGTAAAGAGAAAAGAAAAGCCAAATCTCTTAGCAGATAGACATAGAAAGAATAGAAGTATAGGAAAAGACTTGCATATGAAATTATTCAAAACATGCTTCCCTAAGCTACTAATCCAACTAGCATAAAAAAATAAATCCCAAATCATCCTCCACAGAGAAATTCAACGTTATGAGTCACTAGGCAAGACAAAATCAGAGCTTTATGCATGCATTCTTCCTTATTTTAACATCTCCAGCAACATCTTTCGAGCAAGGCAACAGAACAGAGGAGAAGAAGAAGAATACCTCTTTAGTGCAGATTTAAAGCAAAACACTAAAAATAAATTGAAGAAAACACCCCCACATAAATTCTTCCTGAAAGCCTCGCGCAAATAGCCCCCACGGTTTCTAGCTCCCGGCTCGACAAGCTCTAACTACAAGAGTATCGACCAACATAGAGGAAGAACTCCTTTCGAGCAGTAAAACAGAAAGAGATAGCCTTCCCAACAGTGAAGAAGAAAGAAAAAAAGTACCCAATTTCTCCAAAAAAAGCCTTCCTCTCTCAAAAGTCCTCTCCCTTCTCTCTCAGAATTTTTTAACAACCCCACACAAAAACTGAACTCAACTCTACTGGAAGCCAATATGCAGAGAAAAAGAAAAAGAGAATGTCATCTGTTGGCCGCCCAAGCCAATCAACCGAAAAGAGGAAAGGAAGAGTCACAATAAAGGGGGAGAGCGTATAGCCTCAAGTAGAAGGAGCGTCGGCCAGCCCGCTTCTTTCAATTGGAGAGCTGAACGACTGTCGTGCCACGTAAATTAGGGGAAGAGACGGGGAAGAAGATAGCAGCCGCGTGGATCCACCGTGGAAGCTAGGGCACAGGCAAGAGGGAGCGGGACGAGCCACGAGATCGAGTCCTAAGATGGCTCGAACGAAGGTTTAGACGTGCGGGTGAAAGGGTAAAACAGGGATTAGGGTTATAATTAGGTTATAATTAAGGAGTAAAATTTGTAAAAAAAGTATTTAATATTTTGAAAAATAAAATTTGATGTGTTTTACTCGTGCGTCAAAACATAACAAAAATTGATATCATTTTTGGGTAATCTTGACGTTCCGAACGCGCTGGCGCAGTCCGTTTCGCCGTCGGATGTTATTTTTCTGAATTCATCGATTTGCGTGCAAATTTTTTAGGTCGGAAATATGGCAATATGGGTGTCCTTTCCTACTAAAATTGGTGTCTCGGATGCCTTAGCGCAGTCCAATTTGTCATCGGAGGTCGTTTGGAGAAGTTTGCATTTTCACCCATCCTTTTGGCTCAATTGAAGTCATATCTCGTGCAATTTTGTGAATTTTGTGCATTTGGTGTGTGTATGTGACGATAAAGTCGTAAGGAGGTTTTCCTAGGACTTGAAGTCCTATTGGGAACTTCTCCCTGAGTCTCCACACAATAGCCCTTAACCGCTCGTCCATAAGACAATGGTTTTGAGACCATAAATATTAGACATCACAGGAAAATAGAAACTGTTTTGGAATTTCTAAGAAGACAGGTTTCAATGTTGGTATTCTAAGATAGTCAATAGGAAACTCCTAAAGCTAGATCCTAGGCTTTAGGAAGAAGAAGGAAAGACCTCACAAAAATGAGATCAACATTCCATCACATGTACCCTTAATGAATTCAACACGCCATTAGCAGATAGATTTCTTCCCTGATGCACTCCAAATCAGTTTTTGCGGCTCTCATGATATGCCTTCTCAAGATTAATAAAAAATCATATAAAGATTATTTATTTGTTCTCTATATTTTTAACTTAATTGCCTTAATACAAAAATTAATTTTAGAGTATTATCCTGACAAGAAGTAAATTGATTTTTCCAAAACAAACAAAACTTTTCTATGGTCATGTCACAATACTCTACTTGATCTCATCAATTTATGACTCAAAAGTAGATTTCTTACGTGGGTTTGGTTACAAATATGAAGAATATAGTGCAAAAGAAATGCAACGGTTTGATTTTTCTGGAGTTTGGTTTGAAGTTTGAAGTAAACAAATACAGCATATTTAGATAGGAGACTCAGTACAGAATGCCCATTTTTACGAATTTGAAATAGACTTCAAATCAAATGAATTTTAAATGCAAGAGCTTCTGGTCTGTTACCACTCCATCGCATGCAAGCATTAGTCCCAATCTCATTGTCCCCAACTTCGCACATGTTTAACACCCTGATATCCTGATCCCCCAATCTCACCTTTGCCACTGCTAACCCTGTTCAACATTGTGGTCCCCAACCTCATCGTTGATAGCCCCAAACCAACAAAATTGTCCTCACACATCCAAAATATTGCCAACCCCAAACTTGTCACCTCATATCCCACAAACCGTCACCATCCCGATTGTTCTTGTCTTTGTGAGACCACAGTCGCCTCCCAATGGTGATGTAATACATTTTAAGTCAACTAAACCAAAATATAATGATTTAGCGAATTCACTTTCAACTAGCCAAAAACTTATAAAGCAATCAAATTACACTATTTATTTTACAATGCATTTGAAATACACATTTATTTAAAATACATGCAATGTAACAAAAACTTAATAATTATCGAATTTTTAGAATCCTTCTTATTCAAATATCAATACCAAAATGCTTCCTCGTGAATCATTTAGCATCATCTTAGTCTTCAAGATTCCGCTTAAAAGATTAGTTAACCAAACCAATAATACTATTGAATCCCCCAAATCTCAATATGTATTTCATATGCACCTAAAATTTTTACCATTACGTTTCATTATAAATCACACTCGTTCTCTATTAGAAACCTCTTTATCATATCTCATTAGTTTATTCATAAAGCGCTCGAAAATAATTCCTTCATATCACCATGAGTGATCATAATCTCACAAACAAGCATTGCATTAAAGGCATAGCATCCTTCAAAAATAAATACCTTTTCCCCATACTCTAGCTAACTTTTCCTTCAATTATCCACCGAAAAAAGGCCCAATCTATTCAACTTTCTTACCCAGAAATTAAGGTAAGGCAGAAATACCATCCACTTTCTTACCAACAAAATGGGATTCCAGCACAAGCTTTCTAGTGGTACTTCATGCAAAAAATATTGCGTCTATTTTACACATTGCAAGACTACAATTATATGGGAAGAATCTGGAGCAAGAATTCATAGTGATTCAATAGTACTCAATGATTAATGGTAGGGGCATTTCCATACATGCCACCCAATTCCTACGTATTTACATATCTAACACCTAAACTTTACTTTTTACATTCATACTCAATCCTTCATATCACATCAAGAATGCCAGCATTTTAACTTTCAAAAGTGAAATACACCTTTTTTATGCATAGGTAAGGTGATCTGTATGTAAAAAATAAGATTAGGTGTTAGATATGCAAATTCCTAAATATTGAGTGTTATGCATGTAAATCTTCCTTCATTGTAAAGCATACCCTCAATTCGCCATATGCAGAATGGTACTGAGGATATCTCCCTCCAGCACCTCCAAATGCATCTTGCCATGCGTCTATGAGAACCAGTATCTTCTCTTTTACATTCAAGTCTGGCTGTATATATTGAAACGACCATTACAAAAGAATTGTCCAACAAAAAATAGAAAAAAATTACGATATAATTTAAAACTATCCGTACAAAAGAACACCTTTTTCTTCACAATTTTAACCATTTCATGTAAGATGTCTCGTTCAATAATTTGTCCAGGAATACTGTCCCCACAATTTTTGCTTAAAGTCTCTAACACCTGGATGCGCACAAGTAAAATAATCATTGTGACAAATGCAAGAAAATGCAAAATGCAGAAACCGATAACAAGTTCTACTTTTATGTGCCAGATTATTAGGTCTCAATCAAACAAAATTAAGGACAGTGGATGGCTAGATTTGCTTCAAGGTTTTGAGTGGTAATTGAGTGGGTTGGAAGGAGGAATATGAAAATATTAATGAGGAAAAAAACTATCATTTTTCCAATCATGATATGTGTGATATATTCCAAGATACAAATAAACCATGAAATTAACTTAGAAAAGAATAGCTCACATATTCTTACAAACGAGAATTTAGATTGATTCATAAAGAATAAATAATATTTACTCTATTCTAAAAAGAGATTTAAATTAAGTTATTCTTCAGAATTGGTAGCATGAAACTAAAAGAAAAAGACCCACCCGAGCCTTTTTTATTTTGAAAACAAAAATTCAATCTATAAACCAAATACATTATTCATCGCTGAGAGGAAAAAATTCCAGTTATACAAATAATTCAGGCGCCAATGTTTTAAAAATATGTAGGAAGCAATCCAGAAATGCTAGCTTTTGAAAATTTATACTAAATATCTTGAGCAATTAAGAAAAAGCTTCCACAAGGCTATAAGAAGCTAGTCGAGCTAAATTTAAAAGAAATAAAATGATAAAATCAACCAAAAGATCAACAAGAAGGAGCTTTACTTTCACATGCATATATCAATATATCAACGATGCAAGCAAAAATTTTAAATAGGTTACTACTACAAAACAAAAGGCCATAATAAATTACATCATAAATATTCAATAAAAGCATAATACACCATATTTTAACAAGCCTAAATCCCGTACTCACAAAAAGAGAAAGAAGTTGTATTTTTGGATTCTTGCTTCCCAACCGCTTCTTGAGCACCTTAAGAGCATCCTTTGCTTGTCTGCACATCAAGAAATAAAACTCACAAATATGAAAAGGTGTGCTATTGAATTTGCTGATAGAATGGCAAAGCTACAGTAAAAATAGATGATCCAAACAGCACTTTCTACAAAGAAAACTGATTGACACTGAGATATTAGCGAAAAAACCCCAATGAGGGCTGGCTTAAGAATCGCTTCCAGTTCATTGATTTAGATTGGTTGTGTTCTAATGTCATCAGGATCAAATATTTTGTTGTCTCTAGGCTCATTGGACACGATTTAGAAGATTTCAACTCGAATCAAAATGCCATAAACCATCAACTCTCCTCGATTATTATCCCTAGGAAAATATCACTGCAAGTGGCAGCCATCATAGGCTTAGAGATAATATCCACATTTATACTAGAATTTGTTGAACGTGAAGATGTTCTTGTCATTTGGCAGAATCTGTTGTTGAACTCATATTGAGAACTCAAAATTGGCTCAAAAGTTAAATCAATGATGTTTCTGACAAATAGTTGAAAAGTTTTATTACTGCATAAATTCATAATGAAAATCTTTCTAATTATCCTGATATTTATTTTATAAAAAAATATTGAAATAACTTCTCAAAATTAAAATATTATTTTGCAAAAACGATAACACCTAAAATTATAAAAAGGAGCCCAAAAGTTGTACAAAACTCAGCATTATCACAAATATAAATTAATGCAAAAATAAAAGGCAAAACCTAACACAAAATGATAGCAACATTTTTGACCCCATAAGCCTAGGTAACTCATATGTAGCTCATTAGTGGTTAGACATTGACAAGACTTGTGGTGTTATCTAATAGTTTACTAAGCGTTTTCTCTTCCGTAATTTAATTATCAAAGATCACGATGATGATGATGATTGAGTCTACTAAACTGTTTTTGGAGCGCTTACAATTTGAAGGCAATCTTAATATGTTTGATTCAGCATGTTCAAGGATGCGAAGTGAATATCCAAGGTCTAATAGTTTAGTGCACAAGTTTATTTGTACTTAAATGTAAATTGCTTGGCGAATATTTATCAAGATCTCAAGGATAATTAATGGAAACCTAAAATCAATTTGATTTTTTTGCTAAATTTGATTTAATCAGGCTTCTATAATCTTATAGATTCATCGATATTTTTGTAAATTTATTTGGATTTATTTGGCTATTTATTTAATCTATAAGTATGTATCATAAACTACAATAGTTACCGGTCATGTGATTAAGATAACAATATTAAGATGTTCATATGAGCTTATATTTCATAACTATATAATTAAATTTATTAATTACATGCTAATCATACTTAATTAAGTTAAATAAATAAAATCATATTATATTTTAAGACTTGTTTTATAGGTCTATAATTGCAATTTTGCCTAAACATTGTAGTTTATTAGCACTTTATATTTCTCTAAACAAGTTAAAAATTTCTAAAGCTCATTTAATATATTTAAAATTTTATAAAAATTTTCTATTAATTAGTATCAATGAAGAAAATAAGTATGACTAAAAGAATTTTGACCTAGTTCCTGTTCAATGGATTCATGGAATTGTTTACATATGACTTCATATATTATATGATATAATTTTTATTAAAATAAATTTAACATAATTTTTAAGAAAATAGTTATTTTCTCCCAAACTATTTAAATTAGAGCACATTAGGTCCAACCTAGTTTGGCCATACTAAAGGTCTATTTGGGATAGCTTTGTCATCGCATCATGTTTCAGATCGTCACCACAATTACGTATGACTACTGCTTTCTTGCCCATTTCCAAAAATTTATGTTGCGGTAAACTAATCTTTTATAACCAAATCTACTAAAATGAAATACCTATAAAAAAGTTGTCAGACCTTTCCAAAAAAAATTTACAAACTCAAAATCAGCCTTCAAAAAATTTGTTTTTCTCGCAGCAACATTACAAAATCTTTTGTAAAAGCTGCAACGACCTCAAACAAACCCAAAGACTTCAGTTCAACCTGAAAATGCCTGATAACAATTTTTTTAAGAAGTTGGGATGTCTTTTGAAGTTGATTTTTGAAAATTTTGATAATACTTTGTTGTGGAGTTTTTTTGGCTATATATATATATATATATATATATATATATATATATATA